TCAACCTGTGGGTCGGGACCCCATTTGGGGTCGAACGACCATTTCACGGGGGTCGCCAAACAACACAGTCCGCCATTTTTTCCCCCTTTTCCTTAGCTGTGCTACTCCCTTTTATTCTATTGGCTTTTTGGACAACCATGATTTAGACCAGTGGTTCTCAACCTGTGGGTCGGGACCCCATTTGGGATCGAACGACCATTTCACGGGGGTCGCCAAACAAGGCTGTCCGCCATTTTTTTCCCATTTTCTTTGGCCACCCCCCTGGCACCCGGTGATGTATAAGTGGTTGGGTCACCACAACATGGGGAACTATATTATGGGGTCGTGGCATTAGAAAGGTTGAGAACCACTGCTCTAGCGGGTCAGGTAGATGTGATCGGCAAGAGGCGGTCCCTCAGATAACCCGGTCCCAAGCCACGAAGGGCTTTAAAGGTGACAACCAGCACCTTAAATTGCACCCAGAAGCAAATGATCAACCAATGCAGCTCCCACAGGAGAGGTGATACACGTGCACACCAAGGTCTGCACAAAACTGCGGGCTGCTGCATTTTGTACCAACTGGAGCTTCTGGATGCTCTTCAGGGGCAGCCCCATGGAGAGCACATTGCAGTAGTCAAGACGGGAGGTAACTAAGGCATGAGTGACCGTGAGTAGGGATTGTTGGTCCAGGAAAGGGTGTAACTGGCGCACAATCCGCAGTCGCGCAATGGCCCTCCTGGCCACGGCTGCTCCCTATTCTTTGAGCAGGCTCCGCGAGTGCAGAAGCACCCCCAGATGCTCCAGGACAAATACCAGATCTGACGTTTGAACTCAACTATGACTTCAGCTTGCAATAATCTGGTCAGTTATCATGATGGCTATTATCTCCAAAGCCACCTTTAATCCTGCATCCAATGAAGGCAGATTCATTGAATACCCTCCTCCTCAAGCATTTATGCTGAATATTCATAAAGGACAATTTTTTGTTGTTGTTGTTAATTGCGAAGTCGTGTCCGACCCATCGCGACCTCATGGACAATGTTCCTCCAGGTCTTCCTGTCCTCTACCATCTTCTGGAGTCCATTTAAGTTCACACCTACTGCTTCAGTGACTCCATCCAGCCATCTCATTCTCTGTCGTCCCGTTCTTCTATTGCCCTCAATCTTTCCCAGCATTAGGCCCTTCTCCAGTGAGTCCTTCCTTCTCATTAGGTGGCCAAAGTATTTGAGTTTCAACTTCATGATCTGGCCTTCTAAAGAGCAGTCGGGGTTGATCTCTTCTAGGACTGACCGGTTTGAACGCCTTGCAGTCCAAGGGACTCGCAGGAGTCTTCTCCAGCACCAGAGTTCAAAGGCCTCAATTCTTTGGCGCTCAGCCTTTCTTATGGTCCAGCTTTCACAGCCATACATTGCAACTGGGAAAACCATGGCCTGGACTATACGCACTTTTGTTGACAGAGTGATGTCTCTGCTTTTTAGTGTGCTGTCTAGATTTGCCATAGCTTTCCTCCCCAGGAGCAAGCGTCTTTTTAATTTCTCAGTTGCAGTCCCCATCTGAGGTGATCTTGGAGCCCAGAAAAATAAAATCTGTCACTACCTCCAAATTTTTACAAGATAGCAAATTACAAAAAAAAAAACGATTGATAGTACATTAAATTATGACCATCAAACCTCCCCCTCCCTTTCCCCCTAAATGCTTCCAGCTAAGACACGGAGGAGAAAGAATAGTTTGTACAGACTTGATTAACTTGTAGAGAAAGTCAGGAAATTGATCTTGTTAACTGAGGCCTTTGAACTATGGTGCTGGAGAAGACTCCTGTGAGTCCCCTTGACTGCAAGGCAATCAAACCGGTCAGTCCTAGAGGAGATCAACCCCGACTGCTCTCTAGAAGGCCAGATCCTGAAGTTGAAACTCAAATACTTTGGCCATCTAATGAGAAGGGAGGACTCCTTGGAGAAGAGCCTAATGCTGGGAAAGATGGGGGGCAATAGAAGAAGGGGACGACAGAGAATGAGGTGGCTGGATGGAGTCACTGAAGCAGTAGGAGTAAGCTTAAATGGACTCCAGAAGATGGTAGAGGACAGAAGGCCTGGAGGAACGTTGTCCATGGGGTCGCGAAGGGTCGGACACGACTAACTAACAACAACAACAACATTGTCTAAATCAAGAATTTGACATTTCCTTACAAAGGAGCTTAAAACTCCTATTTGGCTTTGAATAAGAAAATACGTTACTTCTTTTGTTACCATTTTTATTCTCCTGGAAAGGTTATATTGCTGTATTGTTACAAGCAATGAGAAATTTAGTTGGACTTCTAACTGGCTAATGTGGGTAGGGCCCAGTGTCAGAACATGTTGGAGATTAATGTAAATAGGTTATGACTTTATTACTTTACATGCAGTCTGTCTTTAATAAACTATTGTGTACATTTGCTCTAAACCTGTTTTTCTACAGTCATAGAAGCCTTAGGAAATACTTGAAAGACTTGGGCGGCTGCCAACTCCTGTTTTGAATTGAGAACAACCATCTGCTGATTTAAAGCATAGTTCACCAGGCTACCATGGAAACCCAAGTGTTAAATAGAAGCTAGTTCTCTACGTTTAGAAAAACAAAAACCTTGTGGAAAGTAACTTTTAATCCTGAAATGCTGGTAAAGTTATAATAGACTTTCAGCTGGATATATCCATGGAGATTCTCAATCATCCAGATCATGGTTGTCCCAACGATATTTTTTCAAAAGGCAACTGACTTTCTTTGTTTGTCCTTGAAGATGTTTCGCTTTCTCATCTAAGAAGCTTCTTCAGGTGGATATGTTTTCCTGTTAAAAAAGAATAATTGTGTATTTTTTTCTTATGGATAACGTCTTAGAGAACTTATGCAGTTCTATGATCCCTTCCTTCCTTCCTTCCTTCCTTCCTTCCTTCCTTCCTTCCTTCCTTCCTTCCTTCCTTCCTTCCATCCATCCATCCATCCATCCATCCATCCATCCATGGAGAGAGGTTTGTGAATCTAATTTAATCTTATCAGACAACCATAGTACTGATTGTCAGTACTGATTATGCCTTCATTCTGAGTGCTCTAAGTCAGGGGCCTTCAAACGTGGCCCTTTTATGACTTGTGGACTTCAACTCCCAGAATTCCTCAGCCAGGCATGCTGGCTGAGGAATTCTGGGAGTTGAAGTCCACAAGTCATAAAAAATGGTCCAAGTTTGAAGACCCCTGCTCTAAGTCTTGCCTAGGAAGAAGAAGGAGGAGGCTTGCCTATACAGAGCCAGTGAGGCTTAAGATTCATCTAATACACATACACTTATCAGGTTGCAGCAAGGACCCAATATTTTTCTTGGCTCGTTTCTAAAAGATTCTGAAATCCTGTTCAGTGTCTTATCACTAGTTTCTGTCCACTTACTTTGAACTGGGGCAGATGTTCCTTGGAACAAAAAGTTTGTTGGCTGTTGGTATGAATATATGTGGCTCTCTTTGTTATTAAATATAACCCCTAAGTTAAAAGGACATAAATGTGGTGCTTTACACCAGTGTTTCCCAAACTTGACAATTTTAAGGCATGAGGACTTCAACTCCCAGAATTCCACAGCCAGCAACACTGGCTGTGGAATTCTGGGAGTTGAAGTCCACATGCCTTAAAATTGTCAAGTTTGGGAAACACTGCTTTACACCAATGATACTTTGAGATTCTTTGTCCAATTTCCTCCATTTTAGAGAAAACATTTTTATATGGAGAAGAATCAAAATGCCTATAAAATAATTACATAAATTTGTAAGAAGAATGTTCATCAAAAAGCAATGTATAATATAATGAAACTGGCCAATTACAGTTTTTAGCAACCAATAAAAAAGCATAGTCAAGGTAATGGCCTGTTTGCACATATCATGAGGCCATAATACAATATATTTTATTTTTCATTTTCAATAAAGCATGCTTGAAACAAACCAGAACATAACACAATATATGAACCCAGTCAGTATACCAGTAATACAGTGGTGGGATTCAGATAAGTGAACAACTGGTTGCTGCTTCTGGAAGTCCATTCTGGGTCTGGGCAACAAAAAATTAGCTACCGGTTCTGCTGAACTGGCACGAACTGGCTGAATCCCACCACTGCAGTAATAATTAAATGCACACTGTTATACACCTTGTCCTTGGATCCCAAAGCAGAATTATTTCAGTAGGTTACATTGAAAAATAAATGTTCCTCCCTTTTATTCTTTAGCTTAGTTGTTTATAGTACTGTTAACATTTCAGAAATATCTCAGTTTTTTAAATTCAGTACATCCAATAGTTTTAGATAAGTATAAGGTATTTGTATATATGTACTCGGAAATACTTCTTTACCTAACTAACATCTGGTACTAAAATAAAAGGGCTACATTTGGAGTGTCAGCATTAGGGTAATCAGGGGCATAATTGTGGAAAATGAGATTTCTTCCTTCCCTCCTTCTGCCCTGGCATGTGCCAAAAGGGAAAAGATATTGCTCTGAATTGTACCATTTTTCTGCCAGACATGGAAAACAATAAATGAACCAACTTGTCTACCTTTATGTTTTACTCTAATTTGTAGTATACTCAAGGAGTTACACATGACAGATTATCTGCTTGAAACAGTTTTGTCCAAAAAACAGCTGAATTATAGCTAGTTCAGAAATATCATTTCTGTTTCTACTTGGTTTGTCCTTTGTAATATATAAGCCTTTCACAGCCTTATAGCATCTATCAAGCCAGCTAGTAGTTCTTCTCTTTTTTCTTGCAAAATAACAAGTGTGAAATAACTGAAATCTAAGTGCAAACTTACAGTATTTTTTAAAAGGCAGGTTTTGATGTATGAGCATGAGACATGCCCAGAGAATGCAGTGCTCAATAGCTGTGACCAGAATAGACATAGTTTGAAATTATAGTTGTCTGGATATGAACTTCTTTTCCTTTTTTTTTCTTACGTAATATGTATTCTTGGCTTCCATAATTAATGTGTGCTTGTATTCAATTAAAATATTTTCTTTATACATAGGTTGGTCTTTGGGATGCTGTATCCTGCTTATTATTCCTACAAAGCTGTAAAAACAAAAAATGTCAAGGAATATGTGAGTACTTAACTTCAACATTTCTTTTCAATATTAACTTTTATTCAAGTTTTTTGAGAGCGCATACTACAGTGATGGCGAACCTTTTAGAGACCGAGTGCCCAAACTGCAACCCAAAACCCACTTATGTATTGTTGGGTGCCGGGTGGGCATGGCCCATTGGGTGGGTGTGGCCCATTGGGTGGGCGTGGCTGCAGTGGTAACAGCAGACTCGGTGGAACTAAAAAGTTCAGTCAATCAATTCCAACTTTGCAAGATCTTTTTTTTTTCCTGCGAGAAGTTGAAATTGACTGATTGAACCTTTTTTTTTTTTTTTTTTGCATCCGGCGGTGGAGGCCTAAAGCAAAAAGGTTTTATAAAACCCAGCTGAAGGCCTAGGACTGGGGCAACGGTGCGCGTGCCCACAGAGAGCGCTCTGAGTGCCGCCTCTGGCACCCATGCCTTAGGTTCGCCACCACTGGCATACTAGCTTCAACAGTAATACGGATTTTAACGTGAAGAGAAGTTAATCATGGTAATTTAAATTTAATTACAGCCGCAAGGCTGCTAGTAGGGCCATGTTGGAAGAAAGAATCTCTGCCTACTTTGCAAGAGTGGTTTTTTAAAGTTTCTTATTTGGCGGAAATGGCAGAGATTTCGGCTTTCTTGAAGGATCAATCGCAGGAGAAGTATTTTGCGGTATGGAAAAAATGGATAGATTTTATACAATATAAGTTGGATATTAAAAAATATTATTTAGCTTTTTAATAACTTATATTTAAAATTTAAAATATTTTATAGATTTTATTTCTTTTTTTATTTTTATTTTTTATTTTTATTATACTTTCTTTTATCTTTTTCTTCTTTCTTTTTCTTTATTCTTTTTTTTCTCAAGTATTATTCTTTTGGTAGTTACGTTTTCTTATACATATATTATTGTTAATTATCTTATAGTTTGTTTAATTAATGTATTTAGTATTCAGATTTATTTATGGTTTATACTTTCTTTTAGATTATTTGAAGAAATTTTAATTAAGCCTATGTTCAGCTCTGGGAAGGTCGGGGGAGGGTTGGGGAGGTTTGGGGATGGGTTGTTTTGTTTTTGTAAAATTTAAAAAACTTAATAAATATTTACAATAAGAATCATGGTAATTTATGATACCCTGAAATCATATTTTGTGTTTAAATGAGGTGTTGATGTTGCACTATTTGATTTTTAAATTTGATGATAAATTGAGAAGTAATGCATGGAACAGATCCTTTCCAAACACAGCTCCTCTTTGCTACTTTCCTATTCTTTGTGAAGTATATTTTCTTTTTGCCACCTTCACAGCGATTAAATGATATGACTGAATTGGAGAGCCTAGATGTGCTGGCAATTCTTGCAGGGAAGGAGAGAAAGCATATGCTGCACATAAAGTTCTGCCTTAACGTGGAAGGTTATTAGCTGCTTCTTCACGGACCTGTTTGTAGAGATAAGCCTACAAAAAGCATACAAAATACTTTTTCCAAAGTTTTGGAAAGTGCTTCCAAAACACAAAAAAGCATCATGCTCCAGAAATTTATTAAAAATTTAGGCATATGAAAAAGTCACAGTAGAAATCACCTATGCATGAGAATGCGAATATTACACATAGGAAAAATATGACCTTTACTTAGTACAAAAAAGAATGGAGTGAGTTCATACATTTTGCTAAGCCATGGGTTACGTAATCAAGTAATTAACTGAATCCTAATATTAGTTGAACGTAATAAATTGGCAATCATATCACTACTTTTTATCTTTTCCATATTTTAATTAAAAGTGCTTAGCATGCTCTGTTTATGTTGTCTCTTGATAAATAATAAATTAGTTTTTCTTCTCTGGGTGTGTTGAAAGTGTCTCTGGGTATCGTTAGAGACTTTAAGAATATTGTTTTAGGTTGTTTCATAGAATTCAGGTACTCCAGAGCTAATGATATTTCTGATGCATATGCTACTCTTTGACGTTCCATGTTTCCCTGAAAGTAAGCCCCAGTCTGATTTTTGGGGGTGGGCCTAATATAAGCCCTTCCCTGAAAGTAAGCCCTACTTAAGAGCCTGCGCAGACAGCCGGCCGCCGATTCTATCTGGTTTCTTCCATAGACATGAGGTAAGGGGGGGTAGCTGTCGGTGCCTCTGGGATGAAGCGAAGCCAGTGGGGGAGGGGGGATCTGACCCACGTGCCCTGCTAACCTACGGTATACCTTACTGCCGCTCTCACGCCGCCTGGCTTGTTCTGCAGCCGGTTTCGGCAGGCCGTGTCCGTTTGCCACATCGCTCATCACTCCTGCTAATGCCGCTGCTGTGAGGCTTGGTGGACCCCCTCCCTATCTGACCCATGTGCCCTGCTAACTAACGGTATACTGGTTCCTTACCACCACCTGGCTTGTTCCATGGCTGCTTTTGGCCAGCTGCAGCCATTTGCCACATTGCGCGTCGCGCCCAATGCTGCTTCCATGAGGCTTGGCGGATCCCCCCATCTGACCCAAGCGAGGCCATAACTATGCCTCCCATGCCTGCAGTAACCCTAACCCCTACTCCCCTCCAACCCTAACTGGAGATGGGAAGTCCTGGGAAAAAGGAAAACATTGGATAAAAAAAAAAAAAAAACGGTTTTCCCCAATTGTTTCCAAAGATGAGTTCAAAAAGAAAGAGGTATTTTATCGGGTTCAAGAAAGGGATCGTGGAGGACTCTCAGGGCAAGAATCTTACAGCTTTCTGCAAAGAGAACAAGTTGGATCTCCATATGGTCCGAAAATGACGAGCAGAGTACAATAACCTTAGCCAACAGGTGGATGAGGGAAATGCCAAGAAGCGAAAGTGTGGATCAGGTAGGCAGCCATTATTTCCTGAACTTGAACACAACATCTGTGACTGACAGGAGAGCAAAGGCTTTGGTTGTACACAGGGCTGACGTTCAAGCATTTGTCATTGCATTGGCCCCACAGTTAGAAATATCCCCAGAAGAATTCAGAGCACCACAACCCTGGCTGGATGGCTTCCTTCAGCGGTATGAACTCTCTCTAAGAAGATCGACAACACCGTTCAAGCTGCAGGATGTTGAACTTATTAAACATGCTCTTGCATTCATGTCCTTTGTTGATGGCATTGACTTTTCAAAACACCAACTCTCCAACGTGATTGCCATGGATGAAACTGCAGTGTTTATGGGCCAAGCATCTCAAAACATCAGTTGATCAGAAGGGTGCCTCATCAATCTACATTCCCTCCACTGGTTACGAAAGTGCACATTTTACCTGCATTTTGGCAATTCGTCTGGATCAGTGGTTCTCAACCTTTCTAATGCCGTGACCCCATAATACAGTTCCCCATGTTGTGGTGACTCCCAAATGGGTGTGGCCACTAATAAGAGGGAGTAGGGCATCTAGGGAAAAAGGAAAAAAATGGCGGACAGCATGGTTTGGTGACCCCCGTGAAATGGTCATTCGACCCCAAATGGGGTCCCAACCCACAGGTTGAGAACCACTGGTCTGGATGGAACGAAAGTCCCACCTCTAATCATCACTAAGGGCAAGAAAGATAAAATTGAACGTGTTTCAGGCATTTATGTCCTTGAAACCGAAAAAGCCTGGTGCACACAAGCAGTGATAAGGAAGTGGGTCAATTTAATGCTGCCACTAGTTTTGCGAGGTGGGCAAAGAGATCTGCTAATCTGGGATTCAGCCAGCACTCACCGTGCAAAAGATATGAAGAAGTTACTTGGAGAGAGAGGAATAGACCAAATAATGATTCCTGCAGGAATGATTGCCTATCTCCGGGCTCTGGATATTGCCATAAACAAGCCATTCAAGGACCATTAGCGCAGGGAAATCAATGACTACTTTGAACACAGAATGGAGAGAAATCAGCGTGGGAACTTTGTGAAGCCTAGTCTGTCAGAGGTCATGAGTTGGGTGAAGAATTCGTGGGATAAAATCACTGAAAACTGTGTTGTCAATGCACTACGATCAGGCTACATGGACAAGAAGTGCTCATTTAGGGAGACCGCTATTGCTGGACATGAGAGATTGAAACCAATGATTCTAAAGGAACGGGGGTTTGGGAGAGTTACTGTGTGAAGATGTTGCAGAACAAGATGACATGACAATTTTGAATGAATTGAATAAATAAATGATTGCTGTACACCCAACATTGTGGTTGCCTGGGGGGAGTGTGGGTTAGAGTTGGGGTTAGGCATTGTGGTTGCCCTGGGGGGATTGTGGGTTAGAGATGGGAAGGCCTGGGGAAAAAAAAACAGAAAACTTGTGAAAAAGCAAGGTTTTTCCAAACTGCTTTGGAAAAAAATGGGAAAAACCGCTTTTTTTCCCCATCCAACTTTTTTCAGTTTTTTTGCTCAGGGCTTCTTATCTCCAGTTAGGGTTGGGGGAAACTGGGGGTTAGGGTTACCGTAGGCTTGGGAGGTCAATCAATCAATTCCCACATCGCGAAAAAAAAAAAAGATCTTGCGAAGTTGGAATTGATTGATTGACATTTGAATTAGAAAAATTGACATTCCCCCCCTCAAACTTCTTTTTCCTCCCTGCACATGGCAACGGAGGAGCGTGAAAGAGAAATGGGATGGGGCTGGAAGTCAGGTAAGCAAAGACATTCAATTCCTGGGGGAAGCGAGGGCATCTGGGAAATAGTGTGGCAAGCTCTCCAGCTCCATAGGGGCAGAGAACTGACAGAGCTACAAAGCAGGTGGCAAGATGCTGAAACAGGCCCGTCTCTGTCCTGGAGCTGCCCAGGCCCATCAAAGGGAAGACTGACATCTACTGGGACTTACAGTAAACACAGTGACGCTCTGGCGGGAAGGGGCAGCCGGCATGGGCACTGATGGCAGGATGCCTGTTCATTTCACTACCCTCTGTCCTCGAACCTCTGGCGCTCCACCTGCCATTTTGGTCTTGGGCTGTCACCTCCCTGTTCATCTCTCAGGTGGGCGTGGCCAGGCCAGGAAGGCAGCCTCCCCGGATCCCCAGAGCAAAGGCCCCCCACCC